TTGGTGTTAAGCTGTGGAAAGAGTTAATGTATTGTCTAGTATTTCTGGTGGAATTTATTGCTGCGAAGATCATTTCAATGTAAGTAAACTTAGTTGCCAAATTTCATTTTATAAACACCTATTTTCTGTTTTACATTATTTAAAAAATATGAACATTATATTATGGTTATAGATGGAACAAGATCGTGATAACTAGATGCAGTTTAGGATGACAAACTGCAAATTACTTATGAAGAAAAAAGTGGTTCCACATATTAATTTAGGCAGAATCCGAGTTTGTGAAGAAGCTGAATAAAAGAATTGCCAGCTTACGAATCCATATTGAAAGAGTGATTGTGAGAATTAACAATACTCGAAGGACATTCCTGCATTGACCATCAGCTTGTGGCAAAAACTGATTATTTAATAATTATTGCTTGTGGAATAGTGAGTTTGCCATTAATCAAATAAATTTTATGTCGAAGCTAGAAAAAAATGCTTTTTTGAATATATTGTATAAAAAAAAATACCTATTACTTTTTTTTACTGCCAAAATAGTACATTATAAACCTAGAGACTAAAGTGGTACTTTTAATCCCGAAGTGAGGGCTATAATTTGTTGAGGGATTAAAAAACACTTTAGTCCTGAAGTGTATACACTATCATATGCACTTTAGGGATTAAAAATTAAAAGGGTACTTTGGATCCCTACATAGTACATAAAATAGTGTATACATCTCAGGACTAAAGTGTTTTTTATTCCCTCAACTTTGGAGTACCCTTTTATTCCCCGTTCCATTTACTCCACGGGAAATGAAGTAAAAAGTTAATCCCTTGGGAAATAAAGTGAAATTTAATCCTGGGGATTAAAAGGGTACTTTTGATGCATGAATAATGTAAAAAAGAAAACTACCAGACTCCCAAATCAATCATATATTTTTATTCAAAATGACTGAAAATACCTTTTTCTACAAACGTCACTAAAAGTGTCATTTTTAACGGATGCTGTCAGTGTCTAAAATGCCATTTTATGACACTGGTGCTAAAAGTGATTACTTTTAGCACTAGTGCTAAAAGTAATCACTTTTAGTGCGTTTCTAGAAAAAATAGTGTATGATATTCGTGCTAAAAGTGATTTTATTTTGTTCAAAGGGATGGAACACTCCGCCTTCGGCGTCGTGTCCCAAACTTCCCTTTTCACAAAATAAAATGTCACTTTTAGCACTTATATCATAAATAACTATTTTCTTCCAAAATTCTTCAGCTGATTCAATAATTACTTTAATAAACCTAATGTTTAAGTCTAATTCAAAAATTGTCACTTCATTATCCTCTCCAAATTTGGGACTTGCCACACAAAACTGTCCTTTTTGTCTGTTACATAATAGCATTTGTAACTGAAGACTTGAAGACTGAAGTTGGCACATGTATTTCGTCATTAAATTTCCATTTTCCTTAATGTAGTTTTTCATAGTCTCCTTGCTAGGACATTAAACTTCAATCACATATTCTCTGCTTATTCCATCTGGCGATGCTCCTAACAGAGAATATTGTGCTGTCTCTTTTCAACTGCACATTAATACACAAAGCCAATAGCATCGTCAACATAACTGGCTCTCGCTGACCTAAAAATATATGAAACTATAAAACTGTTACCCTGCTACTAAAAATGTAATATAATAATGGGTCAAAGCTAAACCAATACAATAATTATGCCAATATTTCACTACCCACCTTTAGGTTTTGACCTCGGTTTTGACTCTTCTGATTTCTGCACTCAAATAATCCGTATTTTTGGCAAAAAACTCTTGCAACATCACATAATTTAGTTCAGGTAAATTTTCGCTGGAGGCTTTAATAAATCCACTATCCATCTTCTCACATAAACCGACCAAATAAACGGGTGAAATAAGTATTTATTTTTTATTTTATAAATCAACCAGACTAGACAGGCGAATCAAAATAAACAAAATAACTGACATAACCTCTAAAAGAAGACAGGAGTTGGGCCAGTGGCATTGCAGCCAACTAGACAACTAGGAAATATTGTCAGTGATGCAAACTTAAATTTAGAAATACAGTGCGCAAGCGCGCCTTGTGATGTCATTACAATTTAAAAAATACCTAACGGATAATAGTAAAATTTCAAATTGAAATATCTCCTTTAATATTAATCTAAAAAATGCGGGAAAAAAAACAAGAATAGATTTTGATGTGCCTAATTCAATGAAAAAATTTAAAAAAATCATGAAACGACCCTATTGGCGACCCTTTAATTTTCGTCTATTCTAAAACGATATAAGGAATGTGGTTTTTTAAGGCGTGGAGGAAGAAACGACGTAAAAGGGCCACTAAATAATTAAAAATAAATAATTAATTTCTTCTCCTGCTTTGAAACTTGTTAAAATTGGGGATTCACTACACTCCATACCTTCCGATTTTCTCCTTACATAAATGGGTAGTTTTAATCCTTGAGGGGTGTACTGTGTATTTCGGAATAATTTCTGGGTAAGCTTTTAAGTTTAGATCTATTTATACAATGTTCAGTGATATTTTTTATGTATATTAAGTCACAAACGTCAAACTCTAGGTTCTCCTCTGTAATTGTTTCAGCTGATGATGGGATTCTCATAATCCCGAAACATGTCCTAGTAGTGTTCCAACAAAGAAACAAATAAAATTTAGTGGAGAAGACTGAAGTTTTCTTTTTGTAATTCACAAAGCTCCACTGTAAAAAAATGGACTATTTTTTCGATTAGGTATTAATTGGCAGCCATATTATGCCTATATGTGTGTGGTGACTATTGGTGCATACAGGGAATCAAAAATTCGAAGTGGCTGTTTTTCAAGATTACAAGAATATGAGAAGATTATTATTTGACAGGCATATTATTATGTGTATTTTCAGGGATTGCAGTCCACTACTGGTATAAAAATCGCTGAAAATTTCAGCTTTCTATCTCTTAGTTATGACTTTTCAAAGTTTTCCAAAATCTAAATCATAAAGTAGCTACCTTCTTACTAAAACGATGAAATTTCAAATTTTTTTTTGTCGAGATTTTGTAACGAAATGGTCCTTTGGGATCCCCCAAACTCCATACACTAAATTATTCTGAGATTTGGAGCCAGATTCTATGAAAAAAGGCACTCAGAAAAATTAAAAAATTGATAAATCACCCCAAATTCCTTAACACGATTTTATCTCGGGAACTATACGTCCAAATGAGTTGAAATTTTCAGGGATTGTAGTTCTCTACTGGGATAAGAATCGTTGAAAATTTCAGCTTTATATTTTAAATACAAAAAAAGTTATGACCTTTCAAAGTTTTCCAAAATCTAAATCATAAGGTAGACCTTCTTACTAAAACGATGAAATTTCAGATTTTTTTTTTGTTGAGATTTTGTGTCCTAATGTTCATTTGGGTTCCCCCAAACTCCATACACTAAATTTTTCTCAGATTTGAAGCCGTAATCTATGAAAGAGGGCACTCAGAAAAATTGAAAAATTGATAAATCACCCCAAATTGCTTAACACGATTTTATCTATGGAACTATAAGTCCAAATGAGCTGAAATTTTCAGGAATTGTAGTCCTCTACTGGGGTAGGAATCGCTGAATTTCAGCTGTCTATCTATAATAGAAAAAAAGTTATGACTTTTCAAAGTTTTCCAAAATCTAAATCATAAGGTAGCTAGCTACCTTTTTACTAAAACGATGAAATTTCAAATTTTTTTTTGTCGAGATTTTGTAACGAAATGGTCCTTTGGGATCTCCCAAACTCCATACACTAAATTATTTTCAGATTTGGAGCCAGATTCTATGAAAAAAGGCACTAAGAAAAATTGAAAAATTGATAAATCACCCCAAATTGCTTAACACGATTTTATCTCAGGAACTATAAGTCCAAATGAGCTGAAATTTTCAGGGATTGTAGTCCTCTACTGGGATAAGAATCACTGAAAATTTCAGCTTTCTGGTCTCTCATAGAAAAAAAGTTATAAGTTTTCAAAGTTTTCTAAAATCCAAATCATAAGGTTGCTTAACGCAGACTGTCAAGTTTCCAGAAGTAGATAAATCTGCTGAAGTTAGAATTGGGAATTGGAGAAGAGAATATTTGCAGTTTGATATTTGCTGGATATATGTAAATTTGACGTATCTATAAAGTGTGGAATATTTCTATCATTTCGACAATTGCAATGAAGGTGTCAATAACTCCAATGGCACCATCTTTCAGAATAAGTAAGACTTCCTCAATGTATTTCCAATAGTAGCTTACGAATCTGACATGTAGTTTGATAGCTCCAGATATTTAGTAAAATGAATAATTCGAATGATACTCTGGACTACAGGTATTCGTTGGACGTTGACACCTAGTAGGTTACTTCAAAATTAAATTCACTATGAGAATTGAAACTATCCTTAAATTATCCAGTAAATGAAAAATCTAATGAAACCCGCTGACAGTATTGGATAAAAAGATCTGAAATCTGCTTTAAGATTTTTCAGCTGAGAGTCTACTGTCGCACCTGTTTCACCTAATTTTGAATATTTTGGTTTCTGGTAGCAGCAAATTGAAAGTGTTTTAAGAAATCCTATTCAAAAACTTCTAGAATCGGTCAAGAAATAAAAAAGTACTTTAACGTTAGGAGAGGAGCTGAAATAATCTAACACCACACCGCAGAATAACTTAAAAACTATAAGTAGGTAACTAAATTTCCCTAACAATAAACAATTTCTATATGTTTGAGGTGTTGACTCAAAATATCTCTATAGTAAGTGATGGTTGGGTAGTTTATTAATTAGATAATTGTTCCAAATATTAAATAATTTTGTTTTAGATTTTTTGTTTCTAAACATTAATTGGTACCTCTATTAGTTATCTCAGGACTCAATATTCAAATTTCTGTATACCTGTATCACAAAAGACTCAAGGGATTGAAATTTTTGACAATAACCAATGGAACAATATTCGTAAACTATTTTAGACCAAAAAACCTTTTAATAAAAAAAAATTTTCTTACCTTGGGCCGTAACTTTTCGTGCCACCGACTTCGATCGCATCTTTCGACACACTTTGAAGTCCAAACAATTTCAACAACCTCATTCAGTTTTCCATAAAGCACGACAGGAAACAATAACTTTGCATTGAGGTAGTAAATAAAAAAATTCAACAAATAAACAAACAAAATTTTTTTAGTCCCGACAACTAGGAGAACCCAATAGACAATAAGACCCCGGGGCCAAAGGAGTCAAGCCCAGTGTAGATGATCCCCGCGCACTTGTCACTCGTACCCCAACTTTTTTCTCTTCTTGTTCTTCTTCTCCTACGACGCTGTTCGCAGCCAATAGGCGGTCGCTGTCATGTTTTGTCACTGCGGCGCGATTGTCTGTTGTTTCGTGCGCGCGCGTTCCTGCCAGCTCGCAGGAGGAATTGTACATAGAGAGAGCCTAGATAAGAGTATCCTGCCGCTCCGGCTCTCCGGGTGGAAACGGGTCGATAGGGTTATAGAGACCTCCGGAGTAGCAGGAGGAGGGGATGATGGGGTACGAAGGATCTTCTTGGGGGATGAGCCAAAAGCGGATAAAAGGGGGGACAGGCCAAAAAGGGTTTGTCGCTTGAGGGGGGATGGTATTGTGGTTTGTTGGAGGTAATATTTTTATTTCGGTCGCGGCTGGGTTTTATGATGATGCATGTATGTATGGCTGGGGGCCCCCTGAACTGTGTAGCAGGGACGTGTTGTGGAAATATTACATTTTTGTTCTTATTATAAATCTTATGGCCGGAGTCACCAGCTATAATATAATAGGCCTATATAGTTTGATTTACCTTATATTCATATATATTGCAATAGAGTTGATGTAAATGATGGCAACAATGATTGAAAATCTTTTATTATTAGGAATACTTCATACTTGACTTTTCACCAGGAAGTTGTTTGAGTAATCCAAGTTCTTCTTTCGAATATTTTCTCTTTTCCTGTCGTTCAACATGGTTCCAACATAATGGCAGAACTAGACACAATCATTTCAACGAACAAGATCTCTTAGTTTCATAGGATTTCAAAAAATATATATTTTTCGAAATCCTTCATCATGCTTCCAACCCGGACTATGCTTCAATCAGTACGGTCTCTTCGGCGGACCTTGGATAATTCAGTCGTTAGCCGCATGTCTATAGACTAAACTAGTTCGTAGGTTTCAGTAATATTACAATATATTTATATGTCGTTTTAGAATGTCTTTCTTCGTTGTCCGACACCTTATTTCCATCCTCTTCTATCGTCGCAATCCTCTGATGAGAGATTTATTTCACTCATGGACTTTTTTATGGTCTTCCGCCATTCCAGTTTTGGTCTTCCACGTTTTCTTCTACCTGTTGGTTGCCAAGCATTTTTCTGGGCGACCTGACATTTGGCATCCGTTCTACGTGTCCTTACCAGGTGAGTTGTTTCCTTTCAATGTCCTGAACTATCGTGCCTTCTATTCCCATTTGTTGCTTTATATTGTCGTTCCTTATACTCTGTCTTCATGAGATTCGGATGTATCTTCCAATAGCATCCATTTCAACTGCTTCCACTTTTTCTTTTGTCTGTCTGTAATTCTCCACATCTCGGCTCCATATAGAAGGCTGCTCTTTATCATTGTCTCGTATATATTGAATTTTCTCTTCTCTGTTATTTCCTTGCTCCATAATATTCCATTCAGGCATCCTATTACTTTTTTAGCTCTAAATAGGTAGCCGCTTTTCTATTTCTTTCAGGTCTGTTCCGGTGTTGTCGAATATGATACCTAGATATTCATATTCTTGACATTGCAGAATTTCCTGACCATCGTCCACTTCCAAGTTTCCGTTCTGGGTGCCTACACATAGATATTTTGTTTTATTTATATCAACTCTCAGGCGCCATTCTTGGTCCTCTTTTGTCACTGGCCACTATGACCTGATCATCTGCAAACTGAAAAGTGAACAGGCACCTATCATTTATCTCTATAGCCATTCCATAGATCTTCCTCTTCCAATTTTTCAGTGCTATAGCTACGGCTATTTTAAAAAGCATAGGAGAGATACACAACATCCTTGACGTAGTCCTTTATTCACTATAAATGGGTCTGTGAGTTTTTTACCAATCTTAATTCTTCATTTTCAGTCTTTATATGGTTCTTGAGGTGTCGTTATAGTGTGATTGATGTTGGATTGTTCCAATACCTTCTATAGTCTGGATACTGGGACTGTATCGTATGCTTTTTGTAGGTACACGAATGTAAGGTGGGTTTCCAAATGACTTGTTTTAGGCAAAATACGTTGTCCGTACCTGATATTGCTGCTCTAAAGCCTCACTGCTCTTCTTCTTCTTGGTTCTTTATATTCTTCTTCAATGAGATCACGCAAAATTGTACCGTATGCTTAGTGTGCTTGTGACTGATATGCCCCAATAGTTATTGAAGTCCAGCTTATTTCCCTTTTTATGAATGGATGATATAAAAGCCGCTTTCCAGTCCTGTAGAACAGCAATTTATTGATAATACATGTGAGACCTTTAAAGGGATTCTCAGTTACCCATTTCAGCATTTCGGGGTATATCCCTTCTGGGCCGCTAGCTTCACCTGACTTAGGATTCTTAACAGTCTTTATTATTGTTTCTTCAGATATCTCAACTACTTCTCCGTGTACTTCAATATGTCTTGGAGAATCTAGTGTACCGATTCCGGTCTACTTTCTTATAATAGACCCTTGTAGTGTTCTATCCATTATTGCTCTGGTTTAATAATCTTTATATTAGCTCTATCAATCCTTTCCTGGGTTTCTGAGATTTGATATAAATCTCCATACACCTCTGAGCATTTCCTTCCTCCTATATAGGTGTTAATTACTTCACATTTCTTATCCCATGACTCGTTGTTAGCTATAGTGATGTATGTACGTGTACGTTCTTAGTTTTCTTTTTGTGTCCTTATGAACTTCAAGGTCTTGTTCATTTTTTGTTGTTAGCCATTTCAGATATTTTTTGCTTTTTCTCTTGGACTAATAGCTCTATCTCCTCGTTCCACCAATATTTCTTGTTGATAATTTTTTCTTTCGTTCCTATTGCTTATTGTGTGGATTCTATTAGACTTCTTATAATATTCTCATAGGGTTTATTGAAGGTACATTCTTCAGTGTTCAGTAGTTTGCTGTCGAGTCGCCTTTGATATAGAAATACAGTGCTGTCATCTTTAAAATTGTCAAAATTGTACTTTGTGTCCGCGTTAGTATGGGATTGGTGTTTTGTTCCTCTGGGTTCTTGTTCCTTTTCTTAAATGGCAACTTTATTTTTGATCCTACTTAAAAATGATCTAACCCGCAAGTTATTCCGCTTAGGACTCTTATTACGTCGTTTATCTCTATGTTTGTTTCTTGTTTGCTCATCACATAGTCAGTAATAGTTTTCAGGGTACAGGTATTCTGTATCCATTTGTAGTGGTGAATATCTCAGGTTCCAGTAATACTTATCATATACTTATCACATTTTCATGTTCGACTCCTGTGATCGGTATCGAGATATAGAGGAAAATGATTGGTACCATTTTCCATGAAAATTTTCAAGAGGACATTTAGAATTGTTTAGACCCATGAACATCTTAACACAGATAGACAAAGTTTTGTTGTGATGACAAGACCTCCCATGGACCAGGAAGAGTGAGCTTTGACAAAGAGCCGCCCAAAAGAATGAACTAATGCGCATAGGTGTAACTCGTTTCGTTTATCTATCCATCTGCCTCTAACTGATATACGTTTAATGGACGCGTTGACATGCCAATTGAGGAACCGGCGTGGTCCAGTTGGGAGTCGTTTTCAGTCTTGAAGCTCCAATTTTTTGGGAGGAACCGAATAGGAAATGGATGTAGATATTACCACAGTGAGAGAGTCTAAATCGATCATTTCCTCTCAAGTAGAAAAAGACTTTTTGAAGATATTGAGTAATGGTTCAAATCGAGTGGTAGTGATCAAAAAGACACCTATAGGTACTGCGAGCAAAGATTTGCTTAAACGAAAGAAGCAAATCTGAAGATTTCTTGAGAATTTCAGAGTGACATACTCCTGAACAGAAAAGAGAAGAAATTCTAACTGAAAAAGTAGTCGATTTAGATTTTGTATATGGTGTCATATGGACTTTTTCCATGTTCACTTACATTATTATGTTTTTTTTTTTTACTGTCAGGGTTTTCTTTTTTCTCTTCTATCTCTGCAATTTTATGTGGTCTCTCTGTTTTCATATCGAAATGAGTAGAAAAATAACTTAATTTCCAATGATTTATATCTGATTTTTTATTTCAATAACGCTCTTGAATCTCCTCAATGTATACTAGTTTGAGATTATATATACTTATTAGCTTGTCAATATCTATACCTATTGACAAATTACGTAACTTTTGGTACATATTAGACACTTTAAGTTGGACCAAACACGTTAACGTATTCTTTAAACGTAAACTCTATTTTTTACTATAGCGTTGAGTGACCGTCGGTGTTCACAAATCAGTTTAAGTTAAATTTTCACGTAAACGTTAACGTTATATCTCACAATCATGACCTAACCTCTAAATTTTGTTGTGAAAAGGACAAATTAGAAATTATTTTCTGTATTTTGATTATTTTGAATTATATGATACCTTTTTTTTTAAGGTTAAAATACATTCGCCAAAGGTCTACACCGGCAATTTGGCTTTTGGACCCACTCGGTTCAACGAACGTTTACGGATAAGGTACACGCAAAGACCCGTTAAATAACGTGACACGTAACACGCTATTTCTGGTGAAAAGAAACTGCGCATGCGCAGCTGTCAAATCTTACGTTAGCGTTAACGTATTTTGTCTAACTTAAAGTGTCTAATTAACATGATCACACTTAAGGTTTAAAGTCAGGCCTATAGTTTATTACAACAACGCGAGATGTCAATGCTGTCGCCCCTATAGTGTGCCCTAACTTGACTGTCAAAAAAAAATAGAAAACTGCATTTGGTTAAATTATGTGATGGAACATTTTTTTCTTTTTTTGGCGGAAATTCGAAGTATTATTCTATTTTACATAAACAGGTTTGTAGTTTTGACCAACGCAAATAATTTTGAACATTCATACGTCGGATTTTTTTCTAAACAGTGTAACTACAGGCGTATTTCCAACTATTTTTGCAGTAGCGAGAAAACTACACGTTCAAAAAAATTTGAAAAAAATATATGTCGCGTAGAATTGCAATAGTAGTTCGTTAAAAAAAATAATGGGAAACTTCATCTATTCGTTTTGAAATAAATGGTGAAAAACTACTTTTTTTTTCAGTTTTTGCGATATAACTCAAAAATGGCGAGTCAAATTTGCTTCAAAAAATTATGGATTAAAGTATATCGATAACCATAAAACATATATTTTTTTTGGAATTTTTGAACACAAGGTTCAGAAAATAAGGATTGACTTTAAACCTTAAATACGCGTGTAATTC